CCCAGTCAGTATAGAGTATTTCTACAAAACACGCAAACTCCCATGATGCCAAGCCACTGGGCAGAATTTTTAGGGACAGTAGGAGAGGAATGAAATGTACAGAGATTACCCTTAAGCCATTTGGCAAATGCCTGGCTATTCTCAGGAGTGGTCTTGCTCTGGTTACCAGCTAGTTTAAAAGACATAATAAAAAGAAATAGTACTGAATCCCTGAAGCTTAATGTAGAGACTCTACTGGGGCCCTTGATACAGAAGTGGGGGCTAATTTAGGCTTCTGGCTGCAGATTCTGTTCCCCGGGAGAAGCCCTGGCCTTTTTTGTTTATGAAAGGAGAAGAAAAAGAAGGAAGGGAGGGAGGAAAGAGAGCGCCAGGTGTATGACTTTTTCTTACGGGGACTTTTGGAGACAGAATTGCCGGAGTTTCTTCCCCCCTCGGCTCTGGGAGGTGGGGTGCAGGAGGCACGGGGGACCAGACCCCGAGGATGGGCGGGGCGCAGCCGTACCTCTGTCTGCACCATGTTCACTCTCCGTGACCGCAGCTCCCGGACGCAGTTATAGATGTCCACCACGCCTTCCCTTTCCGCCATGTCCAACATGATATCGATGACGATGAAGCAGCCGGTCCTCCCCGCACCAGCACTGAGTGAAAAGAGGGCTCTGTCAGCTGAGGAAAAGGGATCCCTGTGCTTCTCCTTCTTTTACATCTTTACTATGGTGGAAGTCACATAACATGAAATGAACCACGGGAAGGAGTACAGATCCGTGGCATTTAGCACCCTCACCATGTATCACCTCTATTCAGTTCCGACCATCGCTTCTCGGCCTTTTGGCTAAGATCAAGTGTAGTTCCGACCACCACCTCTATCGAGTTCCAAAAACGTTGTCATCACCCCAAAGGGGACCCCACGGGCTGCCCACTGCACTCCCCCGGAGAGGCTCCGGGCGCTCGGCTTACCTGCAGTGCACCACCAACGGGCCTGCGTTGGGCGGGCTCTTGGATTTGACCTGCCGGACGAACCCCAGAAGCCCTGTGGCATGATAGGGGACCCCGTGATCTGGCCAGCCAGTGAAGTGAAACTGTCTGATCTCTCGGATTTCATGAACACCTCTCTGCCGTCAGTCGGTCAGCACAGCAAGGAAGAGAACAAAGGAAAACAAATGGTGAGCGACTGGGAGCGTCCGGTACCCTTAAACAGTCAGTGGGCCTAGGGCCAGGAAGCTGTGCCTTGTGTGGAAGAAGGTCATTCTTAGCTGTAACACACACCTGGAAAGCCTTATTGTAGGCAGGGGGATGCTCGTGGGGGCGAAAGGGAGGTGATGTTTGGGGAAGGCGCTAATTTACAGGTGCAACCACAGCAGATGGATGCATCTCTGGTTCCTTGAAATTCCTTTCTACAAAGTAGGCTCTGTTCACAGTTTGTGTCACTACGGTGTGAAGTGCAAGTCCACAGGGATAGAGAGGCACAGAGCAGGGACCTGAAGGACACCAAAGGTACTTGTGTGCTCAAGACCAGCTCCTGAATGCAGGAGGTTTGTTTAGCTCTTCCGTGTGCTGGTATGTCTTTGTACCGGGTGCCCGCCGCTGTGGGTGCACAGAGAACGTCACTGGAAGAATGAGCGAGGACCACTTTCCAACTGGATAGGCCAGAGAACTCATTTCCATTTGCACCTCAAGTTTGTGAGGTTTCTGACTGGGGCAAACATTTAATCCACGCATCCAATCACCAACAATCTGAGTGAATGAAATGCTTCAGGCATGACTCAAGATGCTGGGGTCACAGAGATGTGAAGACAGCGCCTCCTGCCTTCGAGTGGCCATGACAGTTGGCTTGTGGGAAAAAGGGAGGGTGTCTGGAAATCAAAAGGCATTTTGGCTGCAATTCTATGTTAGATTAGTAAACTGAAAAAGGTGGGTTGACTCCAAATGAACTGAAGGGAGACAGAAAGAAAAAGACTCTGTCTTTTTTTTTTTTAATTTACTCTTGTTTTGAAAATAATAAAGTTGATTTAGATGCATCAATTTTTTTCTAACTATGAACCTACGTATTAAGGTTCTGTTGTAAAACAAAAATCTGTTTTTTCTGTTTTTTTTTTTTAATGTTTATTTATTTTTGAGAGAGACAGAGACAGAATGCGAGTGGGTTAGGGGCAGAGAGAGAGGGAGACACAGAATCAGAAGCAGGCTCCAGGCTCTGAGCTGTCAGGACAGAACCCGACGCGGGGCTCGAACTCATGAGCCGTGAGATCATGACCTGAGCAGAAGTCGGACGCTCAACCTACGGAGCCACCCAGGCGCCCCAACAAAAATCTGTTTTGAAAACAAAAATTGCTTCCAGAATCAAGGCTGGATTGTAAATCCGGGATCAAATAAGAGATGAGGTCTCTTGATGACCTCGTCTCTTAGTTGATGACCACTTACTGAATACCATCTCTGTGTTGGGCCCTGAGTTTCGTTTTCTTCTATCTTAACGTTAAATACCCACTAACCTTGTCACACTCACCATTGGTCACTGTTCACACATACTTAGCAAGCAGAGAAGAAATTCAGAATTTCTAATGTGTTCGGAAAGACTAAAAGAGGCAAGCAATTACAGGTTTTAAAAGAAGACTTGTATGCTGTCAAGGTGTTCCCATGTCTCAGTTTAGTAACCCACAAATGCTGAAGCTTTCCTTCTCTTTGAAAATTATGCTATTCTTTAATGGAGTTTAAGCATTAAGGAATTAATTAAACCATCAGGGATTCAGAAATGAAAATCAACAATGTCATCTACTGAATATGCCCTGTGACTTGGAGCGCCTGGGTGGCTCAGTCGGTTGAGCGTCTGACTTCGGCTCAGGTCGTGATCTCGCAGTTCGTGAGCTCGAGCCTTGCGTCGGGCTCTGTGCTGTCAGAGCCTGGATCCTGCTGCAGATTCTGTGTCTCCCTCTCTCTGCCCCTTCCCCACTCATGTTCTGTCTCTGTCTCTCAAAAATGAATAAACGTTTAAAAAAAAAAAAAATCTAAATATGCCCTGTGGCTCCAGAGTAGTATCACTCGGTGGTTGGGAGCCTACATCTCTTATTACTGAAACCATGTAATCTGCACCAGTCCCCAGATCTCTACCAGAAGACAAATGGTTGAGCCTGTATCACCCACCAAACCCCTTAGAAAGGCCCCTTGGGCTTTACATGTGATGACTGGGGCAGGGGTGGTCCCATGAAATGGGAAAACCTATAATATACATGTATTTATTCCAAAGAGGACAAGAGGGCCTTTATTTCTCCCATACATGGTTTATTTTTAGTTTTTGAGATCTTCTCTTCCTAACTTTGCTAAATTTCAGCTCCAGCATCCTCCAAGTCTGGAACCCCAGCCAGCAGGAGATGGGCCCCCCAACTGATCTATGACTCATTTTCTGAGCCAGGCAAATGCTAGTTTCTTGGATACAGAAAACATTTTCCTTAAATAAACCTCTACCCTCTAATATGTTTACTATTGACAAGATTAGCAAAGGTGATTGCTTCTGAGCCAGCTCTCATTCTTGTTGATCGACGTGGCAATTTCTCCATTTGCTGCTTTGTAATATATTTTGGGGGGAAAAATTACCAAAGGTGATCACTGATGGCAGCCAATATCCCAACTTTGTATCAGTTATATTTTTTTGTTTACTTTTCGTTATAACAAGGATTAATGTTACATAAAATATAAATGATATTTATTTCCTTTTCCACGTAAATACAATAGGAAGGAAGAACCCAAGACGTAATAGTGCCTAGCCCAAAGGGGGTGCTTAAGAAATATTTGTGGAATGAATGAATCACCAACTACATGTTCTGCGTGTAGCAGGTCAAACAGCAGGGCAGTATTCCTACTGCCTTCTCTGAGTTCCAGGCATCTCCCAGGTAGAGAGACTTTGGTGGCCATTGTCAACCTCCTTTCTGCCAGGATGGTCAGGGCAGGGCATAGATTCACCCAGCAGCCTAGATCCACGAGACTTTTGAGCTGTCTTCCTCCTGACAGAATGGCAACTTTGTTATTTAAAATCTATTTAGCTTTGAGTCATCAGCTGCAGGAGAAAGGAAAGATGACAATCCCATGCGTAACGAGAACTCTTCAGTTTCAAATTGCAATTGTCTGCTAGTTTTGCAGAGTAGAGCCCAGATCCGTTTTTCACCTTGGGTCCCTTGATGCAAAATACTCTCAAAATAGAATCAGAACTGCAGGCCTCTCAAAGTACATGCTTGACTGTTTTTTTTTTTTTTTTTTCCTTCTTCTTCTTCTTTCTCTTCTAATGAGAAAGTTTAAAATCTACAAGAAATGATCCACAGAAGTACTAATGATTTGTTTTCCTTAACGATTTCAATTGCCCAGTTAGAAAATCACTAACATGTCATTTTGATTTCTCCCAAATCCTTAATAAGCTCCTCATCCTTCCCTTCCTTCCACTGATTCTCTGCTGGTTGTCTGATGACGAAAATAACTGGGTATTTCAGAAACATTTCTGTGCAGCTGGGAATGTAGGGGAGTACAATAAGAGGTTAAAAAAAGAGCAAAGAAACAAACAAACCCTTCCTTTAGCAACAGAGATGCATTTTCAGCTTATTAGAGAGCCCACTATTGTTCAAAGAGCTCCATGTTTAAGTGATGGCTTTGGATGATTTTTTTTTTTTAAAGAAAAAAATATCGAGGGTCTTTTATCACTATCTGTTTTAATGCAGTTATTCATGAGTGCTCTTGCCAAGAGCCATACAAAAATCCTCCATGTTTTTTTTTCCGATCCTGCCTAAGAAGGAAAAAAAAAAAACCCCCGACATCAAAGCGTGAGGTTCAGAACTTGAAGAACTGAGTCAACCAGAACTCCACATTCTTTGAAGTCTCCAAGCCTCCTGCCTGCTTATTAAAAAAGACAGGCTAAGGAAAAGAAAATGCTAAATAGTATGAGAAACAGATTAAAATAAACTAAAGTCTTTTCAGCCTTGTGATTCTATGACAAATACGGATTTGAAAACCGGGATGGGTAGTTCAAAACATCAGGGTAAATTAGCCGAAAAGCAGATGTGGCAATTTCCTTGATTTTCCAAAAAGGGTCTTGTTAATCTAAAAAGTGCACTTAGATGTGACGAAAATTAGAGTAAGGAGGAAGGCCAAGGGCCAACTGCCCAGCGGTGTACTTTTAGCCCAGGTCCTCCCAGGCCACCTGCTGTTATTAAATCAGAACAAACTTTCACTGAACAAATCCGTGACAAAACTGTTACTTCCGGCGCAGGGCTCGGTTAGGGACAACCAGCTCTTGATGGAGAAGTCTGAGGACCTCTGAGACAAAACTGTGTGTCCCCTTCACCAAAGGCAAGATGAGGACTGGAAGGCAGAATGTTTCTCAGCCACATCACCTCCACTCTCCCCACAGCCTACCTGTGCCACTTCTGTGGATGGACTGCAGTTTGCTTCACTTCCGGCCCCTCCCTATGTCAGCAGAAAGAGGGGGAATAAGGAAATTCCCTGTTATGCCCTACAGTGCTTCCCAGAGAAGAGGCCCCATCCATGCACATGGGATGAGGCAGAGTAGAGCCATAGCACAGCATTCACGACCCAACACCAGCAAGTACAAAGGCTAAAACCAGTATGACAGTGAGGATGAATGAAGGGGCTGGTTCATGCAACACGTCCCACGTCTACTTATGTTTCCAGGTAGGTCACTTCTGCTTGGAAGATCCAACAGTCCACACGGAACTGTAGGCTTGAAAAGCCTCAAGGAAGCAGGGGGGCGGGCAGCAGGGGGGGTGGTTCCAGGAGGGGTTAGGACCTGTGTCTCAGCACTGATACTAACTCACTACTGGGAAACCCATATGGACGTACGACATGAGGGACATTTATCAAACTGTGAACAAAGAAAGAGCGATGGGCCGAACAATATCAACCAGGTTAAATGGAAGAGGGAGATAGACAGATCGGTGTTATCTTTTGATTTGGTAGCAAAACATAGATTCTTATGAAATGGGCATGATTCGCTTCAAAGATGGAACTGAGCTATTATAGAATCCAAAGGCAAGATGCAATCTTGAGAAATCACTAGATAGAGCCTACCTGCATTCAGGTGTGACCAGGTATAAATTATCCTAGAGAAGTTAATGAGGCTAGCACCACTAACATCTGACCATAGCTTTTCAAAGTAGTGGGAAAACTTACCTTTTCAACAGCAAACGTTCTTATCACATATTCTGCCAGTAGTTCTGTTTCTATTAGGGTCACTTTAATGTCTTTATATATCTCTGTGTCATCTGGCCAGTATTTGCAGCATTTGACCTTTAGAAAACACAAAGGAAATGAAGGCTTTAGGGTTGTCTTCCTTTTTTTTTTTTTTTTTTTTTTTTTTTTTTTTCCTGTTCTGTTTTCTTTTTTGGAGTTCCCCAAATGATGGGCCACAGTATGACGTACGGGATAAAATTTGCACAGGAAAACAAAAGTTAAGTTGTCCACCTAAGAACAAGGTTTATTTTTTTTTAGATCATCTGTGCTTCTTTTCTTACCCCAGAAGAAAACGAAGTTTGAGTTCTAAGAGTAGTAAAGCCTAGGAAGATCATCTAAAGTTAACAAGTTATATTTATACTGCAAATATCCCAGGTACCGTGACCATTAATTTCCTGTTTATCTCTATTCAGGGAAGCGCCTGGAAAAATAAACGGTAAAAGGCAGTTTACAGCATTTTTTAGCTCCTCTGAATTTAAAATTCCTTTTAGGTCAGAAGTTGCCTGAACATTTTTGAGGAGGCGTGCGCAGGAAAGAGACGACTGTAAAGATTAGAGATTTTTCTTTTTCCTGAAGAAGAAAGTCACTATGTGGTTTTCCCAAGTTAAAATTACACATTCATTTTAATCTAAGTAAATTCTATATCCAAAACTTGGTAAAATATGAGCCGTCTTTCCATATTACCAGAAGCCTGTAATCTAAAGGTATTTCAGGTGGAAGAAATTTGTTGGACTTGGCCCCTTCTAGAAATTGATTTTTCATCCTGTAGCTCTCCCAGAGCTCATGGAAGCCTGGAAGAAGAGCAGGAGGCTGGGCCAGGCCAAGGGGGCTGTCCCTGGAGCTCTGTCCTTAGCCTTTTGCAATTCTGTCCTGAATTCCCGACAGCTTTTATCCATTCCTGTCGCTGTTCCTTCGTGGATGACTTCTGTACCTCTGGCCCTGTTTCTCCAAGTACTGAATTCAATTTCAAACTTGTCTTGTGGGCATTTCCCATGGAGGTCCTGCGAGCACCGCCACAAAGGCAATGTGTCCAAAAGAGGATCCCTGGTCCCCCATCAGCTGTCCTCCACTGACTCCCCAGATCAACAACACTATGATTTCTGTAGTTACCCAGGCACAAAACCTGCCTATTCCTTCTCCAAAACCAACGGCCAAGTCTAAGAGGATTTTTGAATTCTCTCTCCAATATGTTTTCTGACTTTTTGTTCCCTCTGTCACAATCTTAGTTCAGGCTCTGGTACTTCCTACGTGGACACTCTCCCCATACCAACCCAGAAGAACCTTTCCAAAGTGTAATCCCAGTGGCATTCACTCGCTCTGCTCAAGAAGCTTCTATTTCCAATGACTGCCCGTGAAATTAAACAGAAATGAAATTTAGCCCGGTATGTAAGGACCTTTTATTTATTTGGCCACAATGAACATTTTCTGCTATATCTTTTACTACTGTCCTTTTTACCACCATATGTTTGATGTCTAAAGACAAACGGTTTGCCCAGATCCCAGCTACTCATCCCATTCCTTCTGCTTGGACTATCCTCCCATTCGTACCCTCCCAGCTGAAGATTCTATCCATTCTTCAGAGTACATCTCAAATGCCACACCCCTTCAAAGTGTTTCCTCTAAAGATGTGAGCTCCCGGACCTCTCTCTCTTCTTGATCCTCTGATAAAGCGTGCAAAGGGTGTTCAATTGCTTATTTTTGCAAGTCCTGCAAAATCTGCCATTGTATCCCCTACGTGCTAAACTAGATCCATGTAGAATTGATCTCATGGAGCAAATCATAGGATCAGCGTAGGAAGGAAAATCCCAGATTGGGAGAGTTTACAAACAGAAGTGTGGGCTGAGATGGCCTTTTCCAGAATGCCAAGCACCTTGGTATACTCATGTTTCAAGTGCGGGACAGGAGTGGTCATTATCTTAGCTGCTTCCTCAGGAAACTTTCTGGCAGCTGATTCAGTTCAGTTCTACGTAAGCTTTATTAGCTTTACTTGGCAAGATGTAAGCCAGACATGTTCGGGGCTGGGGACACAGTGGAGTGTTAAGGCAAAGACAGTCCCTGTCCTCATTAAATTTTTAGTCTTCTTTGGGAGTCTTTTTTTTTTCCTCCTGGCAACATTATCTGTGACTTTATAAACTATAGATATAAGTATTATGGCTTATATATAATATGCCAAAGATTTACATTATGATGCCTTTGCTGCATTTAAAATACTCCAGAATAACAGGGATAATTTCTCCAGTTCCTCTCCTACACGTAAAGTGAATCTGGGCAGACCATGCATATTTGCGGTGATGTCTAATTTGACGGCAACCCTAATTTTGCATACTGAACACACAATTACTTCACAGTGCTTCACAGTGCTAATGAACAAAGACACTTATAAGGTATGTACGGGGGGGGGTCCCTTCTATATTGGGAGACTTGCTTTACCCTTTTGTGATTCCAGTTACGCAAGCCGAACGCAGTGGATAGCTACAAATGGAGTATGTATGTGCACTTCTAAAATTAAAGTTTTCGATGTTATGAACGTATAATTTAAAAAAATACCTACGTATTTCTCTGAAAATTACAAGAGAATAAAAACACTCACACCTGCATCCTATGTGTACTGGGTGTATCTTATCTAATAAAGACGCCTTGTTTGAATGCAATCGATGTAGGACATATCGCAAGGTCATCTTGCATTTTAGTCCCTTATCCTCCCCATCTAAAGATTTTCAACAGATACGGGTGCCAGGGGCTTCAACACCTTGGAGGCGGGGACACCAAAAGCCCCTGCAATGTACTGAAGGCTTAGCGTTTCTTTTTGGGACCGTTCTTCCGATTCCCTCGGGCGAGCTGGGGTTCCACAGGGAACGTCACCCC